CAACTTCTAAAGATCTCAATCACATGATCTCTAATGAAGAAGGTTCTACATCGAAACACTTAAAAGTTTCGATGCCAAAGTCTTCATCTCGAACAGCAGCAACACTGCCTTGTGCTACACCCATCAACCTTAATGACCCTTTTTCATCCTTAGGCAATCACAAAAGAACCATTGGACTCTTGTACTAGCTTGATTGTCTCCAACTATCTTTACTCGCAGCAACATGTTTTCCTATCATTATTGTCACATGCAATCTCTGACCAGCCTACAACTGATTGAAAACTCATCTAAGATTTTGTGGTTGGCTGTCTTGTTTGGTACAAGTAACCATGACTCATACGTAATTTTTTGAAGTTGTTTCCTGTGCTTAGCTTGCTTCCTTCCTAACAAGATTTCCAGGACAAGGTAAATGGTTCAATATTAATTGTTTCTGAATACATTGATATTTCTGTTGCAGGCAGCAGTCCTCAAGGAAAAGTCTAAAACTGATTTGCGTGTCATGGGTATCCTTGGATCAAGGAAAATGCTTCTGAGCGACATGTAAGTTTCCTGTGTTAGTATGCCATTAGACCTTATTTTTTATGAATATGCATAAAATATCATTTCAAGTAGCATCTTGTCCTGGAAGTCATCCATTTCCTTACCAATGGAAGTGTGTCGCATTGTATTAAATGTGAAAAAGAAGAGGGAAGGACAAGAGGTTTCGTGAACATTCTATTCAGCTTATATAATATTTTTTTTTTCCCACAATGAACCTGAAGGATGGCGTAGTTGTGTACAATGATCAAAACATAAATGCTACTTGGAAAAAAAAGAAAAACACTAAAAGACTGAAATATGTTTGCTAAATATTTCCTTAATATTATATATATATATAGGAGAGAGTTCATGTGAGAACTGCAAATATTTTGAGAACCACAGAACTACTTTTATAGTGGGTTCATTGATAAATGTGCACTATAAGTTTCATCAGAATATGTATTCTATCAATGAGTTTTCATCAATGAACGTATACTATATATTCATTGCTGATTATATTCATTTGTATTTGTATTATGTTAATGAGTATATTCATCAATGAATATACACTAAAAAATTAGTTCCCCGGGTCTCAAAATATTTGCGGTTCTCGTTTGAACCGTGCTCTATATATATCATCAATCATTTACTGAAATGCATTTACCCTAATCCCCATATATTAATCAAATCTGTGTTTAAATTGAGTTCCTAGCTTGTTTCCCTAATCTTGATATCTTCATAATTCTTCTTCCGATTCAAGAAAAAGCTACCTCAAATTTTGAAGTGCTGGAGAATTAGAATTGATGAGCACTTGAATGATCTTTTTGAGTGCATGAATGTATCAGATTGAATTTTGAAGAAACTTTGGCAGAGCTCCAAGCATGTCTGTTGTTGACCTTTGCAGTAAACTTGGTGGCTTGACAAAATATATATGTTAAACTATCCAGGGAATTACTGATAATCTTCTCTTTCTCCACAATCTTGCTTCTGTTTTGAGGACCAATGAGATTCATCTCTCCCACATGCATTAAGCTTGTATTTGATCCTCAGAAGATGCAAAATGCAAGTTACACTTAAAGTTCAACTCCTCTTCATGGTAGACACAACTTAGTTCCACGCTTCTGTGGTCAGCTAACCACAACAGTATTTTATGATGGGAACACATTCATTGTAGAAGTACTCATCTAGATGATCAATCAAATCCACCAACGCAAGAAGGCTCGAGTAATTAGAGTCTGGCGATCTCCCTAAAGAGTCTTCTATAGGCTTTGCTTCTTCAGGTTTTGGTGTGATGCCAAATTGGCCACAGAACTTAGGATGCTCATAGGATGCATAATCGCTACATGAGCTCTATGAGGATTATATGTACATAGTAATGACAACTGGAGTGGCTCCGATGGTTATTTATTATCATAACTTGACGAAAAGTTTCAAATTAAGATTGTCTATTATATGCACTGAAGCTGGTTGAGATGTGTGGAAAAACTTCTATTCAACTTGAATACAATGTACATATTTATATACAAATAAATCTGTAGCGGCTCCTATAAATCAGCCTCTAAAAGATACTACAAATCATATCTAATAAAGAGAGAACCAACAATAATGAAAAATGATCTCTAAGAATCAGCTTATGCTGATTATATGATATCTCTAGCATTCCTAAGAATCAGCTTATGCTGATCTCTAGCTTGATTTCCTACACTACCCCTCAAGCTAGGCGATATATGTTCTCTAAACCAAGTAAGGTACTTAGTTGAGTAAGATTAGAGTGAAACAGAGCCTTAGTCAAAATGTCAGCAGCTTGTCGCTTAGATGGAACATGTTCGAGTGAGATTATCTTATTTTCGACCTTCTCATAGATGAAGTGTCTATCAATCTCCACATGCTTTGTATGATCATGCTGAACTGGATTTTTGGCAATTGCGATTGCAGACTGGTTGTCACATATGATCCTGATAGAGTCTGAAGTTTCAACCTTAAGTTCTTTCAGTAATTGTTATAACCAATATCCTTCACAGATGCCTAAGGCTGAAGCTCGGAACTCTTCCTCGGCACCGCTTCGTGCTACACTGGTTGTTTCTTGCTGCGCCATGTCACAAGATTTCCCCAAACAAGTGAGCAGTATCCAGATGTGGATCTTCCATTATACATGGATCCACCCCAGTCTGCATCAGTATAGACATCTAGAGTCCGATTGATAGATTTCTTGAACATGAGTCCCTTCCCTGGATCTTTCTTCAAATACCTTAGGATGTGGTTTACAGCCTTCAAATGATCTATTGAGGGGTTGCTAAGAAATTGACTCACAATGCTTACAACAAAACTTAATCAGGACGTGAGTTAGATATATTAGCTTACCTACCAGCCGCTGATATTACCCCTTATCAGTTGCCAATTCATCGAACTCTTTGGATAGTAGCCCTTTAAGTCTTCCCATTTCTTCTTGATGGTTCCCTGTAGGAACTATGTCGTCAACATCTATTAGGGCTGTGATTCTCCCATCTGGGAAGTGTTTGACGAACAATGTATGATCTGCTTGAGTTTGGGAGTATCCGTCATTTTTAAGAACTTTAGTGATCTGTCAAACCATGCTCTAGGGGATTGTTTAAGTCCATATAATGCTTTCTTCAACTTGCAAACCTTCCCATGGTTCTCCTTGCTCTCAAATCCAGAAGGGAGTCCATATAGACTTCCTCGAAAATCTCCATTCAAGAAGGCGTTCTTGACATCAAGTTGGCATAATGACCAATCTTGATTAACTGCAAGAGACAATAAGACACAGATTGTGTTAAGCTTGGCTACAGGAGCAAAGGTTTCCTGATAATCAATTCCATATGAATGAGGAAACCCCTTATTGTATTTGTCTATACTCCCATCTGCTTTTTGTTTAACCGAGAAAATCCATTTGCAAACTACTGTCTTCTTCCCGGGTGGTAGATCAGTTAACACCCAGGTACCATTCCTTTGAAGAGCACTATACTCTTCTAAGGTTGCTTCGCGCCATTTCTGAATCCTTAGAGCCTTATAAACCGAGTTGGGTACCGTGACCTTGTCTAGGGATGTCACAAATGCCCTGAACTTTGGAGACAAATCTTTGTACGAGATGTAACTGCGAAGAGGATGTTGGGTGCATGATCTTACCCCTTTTCTTTGGACAATGGGCAGATCCAATGTATGATCACAAGTAGAAGTTTCCTGTGCATTAGAAATTTCTTCATCTTGTATGTTTTCTTGTTCAACTTGGCCCTGGGAAGTTTCTTGACTTTGCTGATTTGTTACAGGCGTGTCTTGATTTTTGCTTCTTTCATAAACTTTGACAGCATCATCAGGAAGAAGAAGGTGTTTAGGATAGACATTGGATGACTGATTGGGTATTGAATTTGACTGAGAGCCAGGGGATTGAGACACTGAATCTGGACAAGTTGGAGTACTAGAGTTATTTGATGGAGGAGATAAGGTGGAGTGAACTTGAGTTGGTGAATCTGATTCCATGAGGTATATCCAGTCCCAATTTTGAAATTCATATATGTTATTCTCCCCCTGAATTACAGAATTGGGGAAGAACGGAATGTTTTCGAAAAAGGTAACGTCCATAGTATTTTAGAACTTATGGGTGGTAGGAGAGAAACACTTGTAGCCCTTTTGGTTGGCTGAATATCCAAGAATGAAATGAATGATGGATTTAAGTGCATGAGAATCAAGTTTACCACGGTATTGAGGGTAGATATGTATGAATACAGTGCAACCAAACAACTTGAAAGGAACTTGTGACACAAGATGAGAGGTAGGAAATAGACCTTGGAATTTCTGGATTACTGAGTTGAAGTCAAGGACACGAGAGGGCATGCGATTGATTAGGTATGTTGCGGTGAGAATGGCTTCACCCCAGAATCTTGTCGGAATGTTTGCTTGGAAAAGTAAAGAGCGGGCAACCTCAAAGATGTGATGTTTTTTACGTTCTGCCACACGATTTTCTTGTGGGGTGTGAACACACGAACTTTGTTGGACAACACCATGAGATTGGAGATAGAGACCAAGATTGGGATTGAAAAAGTCTTCGGCATTATCAGTTTTTAGGATTTGAATTTGAGAATTGAATTGATTTTGAACCATGACATGGAAGTTCTGAAATATGTGTTTGGTTTCAGATTTGTCTTTCATAAGAAATGTCCAACAAAATCTAGTATGGTCATCAACTAATAATACAAACCATCTAGCACCGGTTATGCTTGGAATACGAACCGGCCCCCAAATGTCACCATGGACAAGAGAGAAAGGGTGACTTGGTTTGTATGATCGTGGTGAGTATGTATTACAAGTATGCTTGGCCATTTGACAAACCTCACATTGAAATAACTTGGGATTTTTATTCATGAAGAGATGGGAACAACCGTTGCAAATATGAAAAGTTGGGATGACCTAGACGAAAGTGCCACAACATGATTAACATGATTTCACTTTCTTTATTAGATTGACTAGAAGACTTAAACCATGACTCAATGAATTATGATGACTGACCAAATGAGTTGAAGGAGTGTTGACATCCAAAACATAAAGTCCTGCATGCACGTTAACATTGCCAATCATCTTCCCTGAGCTCAAGTTCTGAAATATACAAGAATTAGGAAGGAGTTTAGTTGCACAATTCAAGTCACGAGTCAACTTGCTGACTGATATGCGATTACACTCAAGTTCTGGCACAAATAACACTGATTTGCGGGTTAGGGTGGCTGACAGTTTAACAGTTCCTGTTGCAACCACTTTGGTGATGTACCATTGGCAATACATACAGTTTGAAGGCTGGTACAAGGAGAATAAGTTGAGAAAAGTGATCGGTCACCTGTTGCGTGGTCGGATGCACCTAATTCAACAATCCAAGTCGAGGAGGATGATTTTGTGGTATGAAATGCAGCGCTGTTGGAGCTTTAAATAAGGTTGTTTTTTGAGGTAGTTGAGCTAAGACGAGATATTGAAGTTTTTTTGGGAATGGCAGTGGACGAATCTATGGATAAGAGATCTGAGTCCCCCATGAAGAGAGGTTTTGAGAGATAGGATGAGCAGATTAAATAAGACGATTGCTTGAGAGAAAGAAGTAGGATTTCTTACCTAGAGCTCTGATACCATGAAGCTGGTTGAGATGTGTGAGAAAAGCTTCTATTCAACTTGAATACAATGTACATATTTATATACAAATAAATCTGTAAAAGATACTATAAATTATATCTAATAAAGAGAAAATCAACAATAATGAAAAATGATCTCTAAGAATCAGCTTATGCTGATTATATGATATCTCTAGCATTCCTAAGAATCAACTTATGTTGATCTCTAGCTTGATCTCCTACATGCACTAATGGGTTCAGTCCTGGAGCTTGTGCAATATTCAGACAAAGGTATGATACAAAATCAATGTGAAGGAGGTAGTTTTCAAGATGAACAAACCAGACTGTCCCTTGGTGTCAGTATCGCCAAATCTTATTGAAGGAGCTTCACTTATTCTCAACAACTGAAAAGTCCTTTATTCTTTCTATTCTCTTATTGGTCTCTTTCGAAGTGGAGTTAGTTTTCAAGATGAACAAACCTGACTGACCCTCAGTGTTTAGTATCATCAAAGCTTATTGAAGGAGCTTTACTTATTCTTAGTAACTGAAAAGTTCTTATTCTTTCTATTACTCTTATTGGTCTCTATCATGGGCAATCATGTGGCATGTTGCAAGCAAGTTGTTAATCTGAAAGTGAGCCATGGCGCGCGGTGCATGGTGCAACATATGCCACTTTTTCAACCCCAAAGCTTCATAACTATAAGATAAGTAAACAGCACAAGTAGATCACATTCAATCAAAAGCATTTTTGTAATAACAAAATAACATTGGATAAGTTGCTTCCTCAAAAACAATCATAACTTTGTTAGGAAAAGATTGACTTGTTATTAGCCACTTCCAGTTTAGTTCTTACAGGAATTAAATCATAAAGATTATATTAGAAGTATGTTTTTCTAATTTATTCTAGAGCTATTGGTTTATTTTGGTGTATACTAGAAAAACTATTGTAAATGAATAATATGTACTTTATTTAAATCGATTCTACCAGAAATGAATGGCTCTTTATATATTATAGAAGAATGGAAAAGCAGGAGGAAAAAATCGAGATGAATAAGCGTTCTTGGCGAACGGTCAATGAGAACTGTTGAAGTATTGAGTCTAAAACCTTCATTTAGTTGGTTCTTTGTAATATGATACTATTTCCCTAGAAGTCGCACAAATATGAAGAAAATAATGGATCTCAGAGTTCTTAAGGAAAGCCGGGGCAAATCTTTTTTGTTAGAAGGCAGAAATTTTATGTGGTGCTCCATGGCACACTTGGCGTGTCTTTTTGCCAATAGATATGGATGAGGTGCTAGAAAATTGGCATATGTGCCATGGTGCCTGCCTTAACTAGTATACTTGTACTACTTTGGAATAGTTGCAATGCTGATGAAAAATGCTTCGATACCACCTGATGCAGAGTGAGAAATCGAAAGAGAATATGGGGAATAGTGTACTTGGGTTGCCTGCTTATATAGTGATTTGTTTCTCACGTGTTGCAAGGATGTTAAAGGTTTTTATTTCCTGATAATAGAATGTTTTTATAGTGTCCAGTTTTAGCTATGTGGTAGTTGCTCTATAAGTTCTGGATTTTATGCTTGATTTTTTTTTTTTACAAACACCAAGATGCATGTAGCACGTTGGGTTGGGTATTTTTTCTGTTATGTGATAATTTGTGTAAAATTTTAAGTTGTCCATGCTGTTGGTTATCAATTTTTGTGTTTGGAAAGATCAAGGTGCCTTTCTAATTCTATCAGTATGCACTATTTTCTGGTTCCGTTTAGCATTTGTTAATCTGAAACTGAAGTTTCCTTGTGTCTTGGTTTGTCATTTCTGATGAACTTCTCTTTCTTCTAGTTGCACAAGGTACTTGGACTGTTTGTTAATTTCATTTTATAGCATTAGTACTGTCTTCCTGATTCTGAGTTGTTTTCAAGATTATGTCTTATGTTCAATCAGCATCAATTTCCTCTGATAATTTTTTTTTAAAGTATATAATATTTATATATGGCAAATGTAACAAATAAACGCACACACCCTCCTCACTTTTGGTGAGGTTTGAACCCCTAACCTCTTAGGAGGCCAAGGACTGCAATAACGCTAGGCCAAAGACCCTTTGGTGATAATATTTCTTCTTGTTGTAGGGGCATCGACCTTTCTAAATGGAAAGAACTCCAGAAAGAGAAAGGAGAAAAAGCTGATCTGGAAAAGTTCGTTCGACATGTGCATGGGAATCATTTTATTCCTAATACAGTATTAGTAGACTGTACGGCAAGTACTGATGTTGCAGAACACTACCATGACTGGTTGCGCACAGGAATTCATGTGATCACCCCAAATAAGCAGGCAAATTCTGGACCACTTGATAAGGTAACAAGTTTACACCTGGATGTGATCTGTAATGGATTTTCATTAACCGTGCAACTCTCTTTAGACGCAAATATTTCTATTTCCTAGTCTCTCTAATTATTGATGGGAGTACTATACTTGATGCAGTATTTGAAGTTGCGAACTCTTCAAAGGCAATCGTTCACTCATTATTTCTATGAAGCTACTGTTGGAGCTGGTCTCCCAATCATGCACACTTTACGAGATCTCCTTCAAACTGGGGATAAGATTATACGCATTGAAGGAATTTTCAGGTCAATCAATCAAACCTTTTATTTATTTTCAGGTCAATCAATCAAACCAGGTTGTTGTTGCATTGAATTCCCCTAGAGAGTTCAGGAAAAATCCTTGTAGCAACGGCAATCTTCTTTACTGCATAAAGAGAGTAAAACATAATGGCATGCTCCAATTTCATGCTCACCATGTTTTTCCTATATTTTGATTGCAGTGATTTTTATGCCTTAAAGAATGGAGTGAATATGATAATTGTTGTTTTCATGTATTCGTAATATCACTACTCATTTGATTTAACTCTCTTTCAGAAAAGGAACATAACATATGGACTTATGGAGTCTTATGCAAAAGGTTAAAGGTTTTTTATGTGTTATCTTTGAAAAACAAGATTTTCTGGTCATTGTGAATACAACAAGCGGTCTCTTCTATTTATACTCGGAAAAAGGGTAAAAAGGTAATTTAACAAATTTATTTATTAATCAATTAAATTTAAAAAAAAAATCCCCAAGGTCTGCAATGTTGCCACCTGTAAATACGAGGTTAGGACGGCCTTTTGGTCAACTCACATGTTTTAGGTAATGGCTTGTTTACGAGCAAGATAAATATCAAGAAACAATTTGCATGTTATATAACGTTGGCAACTTTGATGGTTATGAGTTTAAGAGGCCGTTTACTTTTGACTTGATGGGTTTAATGGTTTTGAGATTTTAATAGTACATACTATTGGGTTGTTTACTTAGGTAGTGTTTGTTTTTTAAAAAGTATCGAAGTCTAAAGCCTTATTTCACTTCTGATTGATAAGAGGTGGTGTTGATGTCTGAAATCTAAATCAATAAAATTGTGTATTTTTGTAAACTGACAAACGTCTGAAGTTTGATCATTAATAATTTGTTACATGATGTTTTAAATTATTATAAAAATAAAAAACTTTTATCAATTGATATAACAAAAAGGTGACCAAATTATTTGATTCTTTATAAAACTAGAAAATAATAAATTGAAATTGAAAATGTAGTAATAGAAAAGAAATTATTGTTTTCGTAAAACAATTCAAAACAAAAATAAATATATTTGTGAAAATTAAAAAGGTAACTTTCATTGGTAAAAGGATGGTCATGGTTGATGGACTCAGGTATTTGGACCAAGTAATTGAAGGAGGCGGAAGAGAATAAGAGGCATTTAAGATGTTAGACAACAACTTTTTTTTTCAGACCATATTAAGAGATAAAAAGCTCTAAAAAACAAAAATAAATGGTCTAAATTATAAAACGTCTGGTCGAATAAAACATAAGAGGTAATTAAGAGATGAAAATGAAAAGACAAACAATATCTTAAGAGTTTAACGAAAAATATGTCGTTTAATTCGTACATTCATATTGGTGTTCACATGCTTTGAGGTTATGTAAACAATCTTACAAGAACTCAAGGAATTTCCCACGTAAATCCTCTTGCCTTCTCTGATGAATCAGTCATCAAAGCAATGGAATCAACCACCGACTGAATTACAAATAGATGATCAAGAGAGCTTATCATGACTCATTCTCTATGAATCTCTCTCACCCCACACGAAGGTTTTGCGAATTCCAAAAGAAACAATTTCTCATGCCTTGGTGGTTATACACAAACAGTAATGATATTGAGTAGCAGCAGCAGTACCACAAATCACAAATCACAAACCAATACAAATCTTGCTTGTCCAAGGCCCTTTAGAGAAACAAAATGTGACAAGTTTCACAGTTGCTAGATAAATAGATGTTATAACAACTTACATTAACAACAGAAACATGAAACGCACTGTAGATATTCATCAAATTTTCTCATAATCAAAACCAAGTTTATTAGTAACAAACAAACATACAGGTCCAAAGCTCATTGCTTCACATTTGTAACATACCACTCGTAAGTGCCAGCAAGCCCTTCCCGAAGTGCAATCTTCGGTTCCCAACCCAACTTAGCAAGCATTGAGCTATCCATAAGCTTCCTCGGAGTACCATCAGGCTTAGAAGTATCCCAAACAAGTTCTCCCTCAAAACCCACAATCTCTTTCACCAACTCTGCAAGTTCCTTGATCGATACCTCCTTCCCGCTTCCCACATTCACATGTCCCATATCAGAATATTTCTCCAACAAAAACACCACTGAATCAGCCAAATCATCAACATGCAAGAACTCACGCAACGGTGACCCTGTACCCCACACCACCACTTCCTTCGCTCCTGATACTTTCGCCTCATGAAATCGCCTCATCAATGCTGGCAAAACATGTGAATTCTCAGGATGAAAATTGTCATTAGGACCATACAAGTTGGTGGGCATTGCTGAAATTGCATCCCATTTGTATTGAATCCTATAAGCTTGGCACATTTTAATGCCAGCAATTTTGGCAATGGCGTACCACTCGTTGGTGGGCTCTAAAGAACCTGTTAACAGAGAGGATTCGGGTATGGGTTGGGGTGCCATTTTAGGGTAGATGCAAGAAGAACCTAAAAAGACAAGTTTTTTCACACCATAACGATAGGCAGAGTCGATGACATTGGTTTGTATTTGGAGGTTAATGGTGATAAAGTCGGCAGGGTAAGTGCTGTTAGCATGAATCCCACCTACTTTGGCTGCGGCAAGGATGACATATTGGGGTTTTTCTATAGAAAAGAACGTTTTGACAGCAGACTGGTTGGTGAGGTCTAATTCAGAGTGCGACCGAAGAATGAGGTTGGTGTAGCCAACGCTCCGCAGGCGGCGTACAACAGCAGATCCAACCAGGCCACGGTGGCCAGCAACAAAGATCTTGGCAGATTTGTCCAGTTTCAAGGCAACTAATACAGTGAGAGCAATTTAGAATTAAAAGCAGATTAAGATATGAAAATATATAGAGAAATGAAGACAAAAAGAGATATGTACCAGCATCAGTGGCTGTCATATTGCAATATAGAGAAGAAAGAAGTAACTTGTACTTTAATATCTTCAAGTTTTGAAATTTTTTCCCTTTTTCCTTTTGTGAATTTGGAAAGAAGCAAGCAAAAGAAAAGTTGCGGCTGAAATTTGCCTTGAACCTGAAAATTTTAACCAAAATATTAAATTAACATTCAAGCTTTTAACTTTTCAAGAGATTGACAATGTCTTGAAATTCCACCCAATCACTGCTTAACATTAACTATGAGTAACAGTTCAATTTTTGAATTTAAAAATATAACAATGTACTCCGAACCAATACAAGTAGATACTATTCATATAAATCTAAAAGTTAAAGACAGTCCTTTTCACGTTAGTAGTCACATTGTATTTCCCTGGATGAAATAGAAAAATACCAACGATTGACCAGGCACCTGGTTACCAAAAAAACACCACAATCTTGTGACCAAAACTAACATCATCACAATTTTGTAAGATAACAATGCAAAATAGGTGATTATGGAATGAAACCGTGGCAAACAACTTTGGGAACGAAGGAGCATGTCTTGCTAAGACTCTTGATGAAATAGATACGGATCTACTGTTTTAGTTCAGTTCATACAACACGTTTAAGAACCAACTGAACTAAGCAAACACTCGAAATATGAAATTGTGTTGCAGTTATCATTTTCAATTTTCACATACAATTAAGCTGATTTATATTAGTACAAACTATGCATCAAAAAAATAATTTCTTAATCACATTTTTAAGATTTGTAAAGCGAACGCTTCACTTTTGTTCGAATGATAATCACGACTAACCGAGTAACAACAAACAGCCTGACAAAGAAACAGGTTTTGACTGTGTTTTCTAGATCGCCAATGACAAGGTAAGCAGAATGATTCAAGTAGTTGGCACAAAGAGCAGCAGCCAAGTAGGTGGTTAAAACAGAAACAAACAAAAACAAACCTTTCAAGCATGAAGTAAAATTCAAAACAGTCGCTAATAGATATAAAACCAAACCAAATGATCCCACTATATCCCACCCGAAGGTGGGGGTCTGGTAGTGACTAGTAAGATGTAGGCAGACTTGACCTCTACCCTCAAGGAGTAGAGCGACTATTTTCGTGAAGACTCCCCAACTTATAAGAAGTGTGCGAAAAAATAACGGTTCCCCAAAGAAAAAGGGAATAACAAAAGGTGAGGGTTTGGGACAGAAGGACCTGAATCATGAAAACAGTAAACTGGAAAATCGAGTTAGAAGTAAACAACAACATACAAGCAGAACTAGTTATATGAAAACATAACTGGGTAAAAGAGCCACACACACCTAGTCTACCAAAAGTCTCCTGTGGCCTAAATGCTTGCTCACTAACTCTACCTTCAACCCTTCACGTCTACAGCTCCCAGCTATGCTAGCTACAACTCCACACCCCTACTCTCCTACCCTAATCTTGCATCTTCAATAACTCCTACCTCATAGGTCATTCCTCGGAGATGCCTAAAGCCGTCATGTCTACCCTCAATTGCTCATTCCATGTCCTCCTTGCCCTACCCCTTCTCCTTCCCCCCTCGACAGTCAGACTCTCTATTCTCCTCACTGGAGCCGCCTGTCTCTTGTGAACATGACAAACCACCGCAATCTTCTGTCTCTCAGCTTATCTGTGATGTCTGCAACACCCGACACCGCCCGAAATACCTCATTCGGTATCCTGTCGAACTTGGTACGGCCACAAGGCCATCTAAGCATTCTCATTTCTACAACTCCCAACTTTCTCTCATGCGCTTCTTTGTTACCTAACACCAACCCATACAACATAGTTGGTCTAACGGCTACCCTGTAAAATTTCTCCTTTAAGTTCTAGCATAACCTTTTTGTTACACAGCACCCTTGTGGCAGCCCTCCACTTTAGCCACCCCGTCTTTATGCGACTACCCATACATTCTATATAGCTAAAACCCCAGGTTCCTAACTGGGTGCAAGGATAGCCACAACAAATTTTGCAATAGAGGAGGTGAGGAACACAATGCAGCCTTAGGAAGCCCACCCAAACCAAATTTTTTGCATTTCATGAGTGATCAGATATGCAAACTAGAGTCACTTGTACTTAAAATGCTTTGCTATCCTCTGCCAGATGCAATATAATCAAAACAGTCACAATGTGTTCCTTTAGACATCCTATGGTTAGTACTCTGTGGTTCTTTTGTGGTACTTTCACACTAGTTTCTTTTGCTAAGTAATGAAAAGAAATGCACTTCTCCTATACCACCAAATAGGTAGTCTCAAAGATATCACATTTTTGGAGAACTGCTTCTGATTCCAGAGGGCAGCATTCATCACCTACATTAAGCTCTCGATCTGAATGATTTTGAGGAGCTTTAACCACTTGGTGAGTGATCAATTGAATCCCAACTATTATTTTACTTCTTTTTCTTTCGTTTTACTTGAACTAAGTTCTGGACTTGTGTTGATTTCGCAAATGTCTGCTACCTATAGTGATACAAGCTCTAGCTTCTGTAAGATATAATTCGGGATCCGTTTTATTGAGTAGCGTACCAACGACATTATTGCCACATCATTACATAGCATCATAACCCTAGCACCTACCTTCAGAAAGTTCCACAAATTGGCATCGTGAATATGGAATGCAGCAAAAGAAAACAGCAGCAGTAGAAGAAAAAGAACTGCAGATGTGAATCGATACCACCATCAACAAAACCAAAAGAAAAAGATCATGAACAGTAGCAAAAAGACAGCAGCAGTAGAGGAATGTAAAAGGAAAAATAAGAGGGATCACTGAGATACCAGCAGATATGAACCAATACCACCAATAGCAGATCGACGTGAGAGCAGATCGACGAGCAGATCGACGTGAATCGATACCACCACGAGCAGATCGAGAGAGGAAATTGACGGACCAGTGACTACACAAGTAAGTAGTCACAAAGAGAGAGGGCGACGCCGACGGGCGAGTGGCGATTGGCGAAGGGCGGAGGCCGGAGAGCGAGAGTGGGAGCCGGGAGGCAGAGAGCGAGAGCGACCGGCGACGAGAGGAGAGGGCAGCCGCAGACCGGCAGACAGTGCAAGGCGATTGCGATTTCTATTGAGAGTGAGCCGTGAGCGACAGAGCAAGGCGAGAGTCGAGAGGGAGGATGATGGACTGGTACTCGTGGTAACGGACTAAGAGTAGACTTACGGTAATTTTTTTAGGCTCAGATAAAAACTTAACTTATACATATACATTGGGCTTTAGGAATTTCCTGCCCTCGGGTTTTTTTCTGCCCTGCGCTGTCGACCCTTGGGCCGTCGCCCCTTGGGCCTATGGCCAGGGCCGGCCCTGCCAGTGAGCAGAGCAATCGTGGAATAATGTGGCTGCTGAGTGTCGTTCCGAGGTTTGTGACTTTGTGGCATGATTGACAGACGTTATTTATAAACGGGAGATAATTGGGTTATAGGCGGAATGAAATTGGGTAAAGCTTAAATCTATAAATTAGATTTATTAAAAGTTTTAAAAACAATTTTTAATATACAAAGTAATATATATTTATGTACAAAGTCTTAAAAACAATATTACAAACTTAATGTACAACTAATCAATGCCAGTAGAGAAGGATTAATAATTCTCATTAGCATTGGTAGTTATCTGGTGCCTCTTAAGAAGCTTAACAGGACGGTTTGAGTCATTCGCTGCGTCCTTCAATGTACACACTCCTAGTCCTAACTTGAACCCTGATCCCCTGAAATATTAATATGTTTTTCGTTAATTCATTAATTGGTTACAACTTCTAAGATCTCCAATAATCGAGAAACAAACATAGGGTTTGGTGTAAATCGAACACCAATCTTACAATTTTCTTAATCTCTGGCTTTCTGCGGGTAAGATTTAGTTTCTATAAATTGTTGTGATTTGAAGCAAATCAATGGGTTTGGTGCTATAACAACAGGATAAGTTTGTGGATTTACCCCTAGGCCTTACCTCTTCTTGATGGGATATATCAGTTTTGTTTGGCTTATTGGTCACTATTTTTGATTCACCTCCTATGTGTTTCAAACCTTCTCGCTATCTCAATCTATTAAGTAGACTGCAAGAAGTAAAAAAGACGGAAACAGAGGAAGATGGACAAAGAATGGGGTTCGAAGCCTTGTTCTTGGAGTTCTTTTTTTGGTCACACCCCTTTTCGCAGACTCCCTTGTCCAGGTAGAATCTATGTTTTAGATTGGTCAAAGTTTTATGTTCATCTTGATTCTAAATCTTGATCAGAAGTTTTCCAATGACCAGTATCCAAGATCATTGAAAGTTTTGATCTTTATGAACCATTTTTCTAATGTGCCAAATGGGTGTTTTTATTTATTTCACTATGAAATCAAATATTTTGATCTTGGATTCTTTCGTACAACTTGATTTTGCAATTACTTACTAATTGATCAAAGTCTATAAATCTGCAAAGTATTTGTGTTTCTTTTGATCTGATTGAAACTGATATAGGGTTTGGTTTGCTTTGGCAGAAGCAACCCCGAAATCAATGTTGAGATTGATGGGTTTAAAGGGGTTGAGATTGATGGGTTTAAAGGGGTTGACATTGTACCATTTGAAGACCCATTTACAGGTAGATTTATAAACTTCAACTTGGTGTCTTGTTCTTGATGTTTTTAGAAGTATAGACTTGGACAAGAAGGAAATAAGCATAACAATGGTGATCTCAACAATGAAAACTGTGGTGAGTTTAGATCACATTTTGATCATCATCAATTTCCGCACTTTTGATTTTTGTTTCGCAAGCTGGGGGTATTCACGGAAAAAGTTTCCTGTCTGTTGTGGATATACTCAGTTTTGGTTTAGTTGTATTGATTTTGGTGGAGTTTACATGTTTCCTTGAGTTATAGAGTTTACATATTATTCGGTGCCTCTTGATGGGGGGCCGTTTACTAACCTCTTACCGCCTCTTACCCGACTCTTACGCATTAAGAGATGCTTACCCGGATAAGAGGTAAAAGTGTTTACTAAAAAAAATCACCTCTAACCGTCCTCTTACCACAGTCAGCAAAAAAAAAAAATCAATCTTACCATGGTAAGAGGCCTCTATTCCTTCTCTACCCTCCCATCTAAAACCCTAAATCGATAGCTCTTCTTCATACGAAACTGGTGCAACAGGTTTTCTTCAGGTATGGTAATCGATTTCCAAGAGATTTCTTCTTTCTTCTATTGATATCTAACATCCTAATCGATTTCTTGATTTCTTCCCTTCTTTTGATTTCATAAATATGCAAAGAAAAGAAGAGGGGATCTTCGTATTTTCTTCTCTGTTGATTTCGTGAGGACCAAATCCGTGAAGTAAAAGCAGCGACGATTTCCGATGGTCACCATTTGAGGGTGGTTTAGGTCCCCAAAAGTGGATTGTGGCGTCGGCATCAACGTCGAGGATTTGGGAGGAGAGTCCAGCGGCGGTGAGGGAACGACGGATGAAGGAGCCGTACAAGGAGACGAAGCTGAGGCATGAGGTCACCATTGTTGTGGGTGTGCAATGAATGCTGAGGAAGTGAATAGGAAGGTTTTTTTTGGTAAGCTACTTCTGAAAATGGGCATGGAAAGAGGTGTGAAAAAATTGGTACAACAGTTTATACAGAACTGGTCCTTTATCTTTATTTACTATAAAAGAACCCTCTATATATGCAATTTGCCTATTTTTCTTCCCTCACACACTAGCACTGAAGTCCATCTATATATTTTCGTAAGCAAAAAAGAATTTGAAATTATATTTAAATTTTTTGATAAATAACATTTTATATTAGCTCTTAATACAATACATATGATAAACAATAATTTTCAATCAGCACTTATTCCAGAAAGAGGGACATAATGGTCTTTTTGACATAATCAGCACTTAATACAAAATGTTTGGTAAACAAGAAAATCCAATCAGCACTTACTCCAGTCAGACCTCTTACCCCAATCAGACCTCTTACCCCAATCAGCACTTAACCAAAAATATTGGTAAACGGCCAATCATTTGTGACCACTACATGGCCCCTTGAACCTTTTGAAAACTTTGTTTTGTGAGTAGAGTAGATTATATATATATATATATATATATATATATATATACTAGGTTCGATCCCGTGTATTACACGGGGTAATTTGAAAAAATAAAATCATGTCAAGAACTTATCTTACAGATATGAATGATCATTGAAAGTACGATGCTACTTCAGACTTGTACTCTAAAAATAACTCTGAAGAATAACTCTAAAAATGACTCTTCAGACTCAATTTAGAAATGAAACTATATCAATAATTAGTTAAAATGAAGTTAACATTAGAATAAAATTTTAAAATTAGAAACGAAACGAAACTATATAGTAAATTGAATTTAAACTTAGAAGTAAATTTAGAATGACTTTTAAAATAACTTTGAAGTATAACTCTAAAAAATGACTTCAGACTTGTATTCTTGAAATAACTCTGAAGTAAAACTCTTCAGACTTCAGAGCTCCGTATAGGCATGCCAGAAACTCTACATACACTATGCAGAGTTTAACACCTCCGTCCTGCGTGGTCAAAGACGGGAGATGTCACAAGTGGTTTAAAAAAAACAACACATTATATAAAACAGAGCAACTAATAAAATTCACCAAAAAATAATTGCATAACCACAGACGGAGATAACGTGTCTCGAAATACGGTCCCAAATTACCAGTATATCTACATTAATCATCAAAAGTTAACAAAAGTATGACTTAATGGTTTATCTTCAGTATTGTCATCTCCGTAGCTCTCACCCCAAAATCCATGCTAAGTCATGTACCTGCCGAGGACAAGAAAATCTCGCCTGAGCTAAATGTTCAGTGAACGGCTAATAATATAACTAAACAATTAATATGAAATAACAAGTTCAAAAACAATTTATAACGCTAAGTGATAATTCCAAAGAAAGTCAAAATGTGCCGAAAGCTTGTCAAGGGTCCGAGACCAAACCGCATCACGAGGACGCGTTGTTCCCAAAGGATGATTAGTCCATTCAGGCATAAGAGAAAAAAGGGGTGTGAGCACAACACAACAATTCTCTCCGTGGATTTAACCACGGCCACAGTTTATTATCTGATAACGGTTCCTAGGATCGATCCATATGCCCTCTATTCGACCGGTACATAACCAAATCCACCTTTAACGACTATAAAAATGAGGACGCCATGATTGTTTTAGCCACCATGAAAACATCTCAATACCGGTGCTCCAGTTATTGAGTCTATAGTAAAATGTTTCACAAATGAAGCAATMAAACAAGTCAAGTGATTAAAATGATTCATGTTCAAAATAAGAATGTACATCATATTTCGAAAAGAAACAAAAGCTCAATAGCAATTGATATGCACAATGAGAATTTGGAACCAAAATATTCTGATTAGGAAACCTTATACAAATGGCTATCCCTGTGTCAAGTGAGATATGAAATCCATACTTTAGTCAAATTTGGCAATTAACGCACGATCAAACGTAAATTCACGATCAAGTTTGATTTGTCCGCGTGCCTTTAAGAAGGGTTCGAAGAGTAGATTCCGAATATATGTTTGTTACCTCGATTCCTTTAGTAACTTGACGTGAAATTTAGAGAGAAGAGAAAAATTTTAGAAAGAGAAACGAGACGAGAGAAAAGAGAAAAGAGGCGGTGATGAAACCGTCCTCTTTCTCTCATGCATACATATATAGATTTTTTTTTCTTTTTTTTAATTAGTTATATATATATATATATATATAGACTTGGGATCATGTGAGATCAATGGTTTTCCGTAAGACCCGTAAGACCAATTCTCAACCATTGGATTAGATTTACAATCGTCAGATCTGAACATTCATAAACGCCACGAGACTTCTCAATAATTACATAATTGTCACCTTGCAACTTTAGACCATTAAATCATTAGTTTATAAAGTTAATCAATGAACATAAATTGGTCTTACGGGTCTCACGAAAAACCCTTGGTCTCACGTGAACCCAACCCTATATATATATATATATATATATATATATATATATATATATATATATATATATATATATATGAGTGATCAAATGAAAACCGTCTTCATTTGTGTAAACCATGTAAACCAATCTCATCAATCCATTTTCTTGATCAATGATCAAGATTAGTTTAAGTTATATTAGAAAATTAAAAAAAAAATTATTTTATAATCCCTGTAAAGGCAAAATGGTAACTTTGATAGTGGTAATATTAATAACAACTATATCATGTATATCGTAATATTAATGAAACAAAATCATTTGTAAAATAATATATTAATTTTATGTTCAAATATTATAAATAAAATTACATCCATCATTAAAATAAATCAACAATAAAAATAAGCACACTATAATCAATTTAAAATGGTTACCTACAAAGCTATTGAAATGTTACTATGAAACTGTTTCACAGGGGAGTATATGGTTACTTAGAGAGCTATTGAAGTGTTACTATGAAACTGTTTTACTTGTCCAATGAGATTGTTACTTTACAAAGATATTCAACTGTTACTTGTTAACATGAAACTGGTTCAATTGTAATCTTGATGAAATTTGTTCACTTGTAACATGAAACTGTTTTTTATATCTTTTCTGAAATGGTTTCACTTCCTTCACACACTCATATCATCATGCACCGATTTCATGATGTACCCATTTCATGTTGTACCCATTTCATAATCATTTCAATTACTCCATGCACCAATTTCATCACGTATGAAACCGGTTTCATCATGCACCCATTTTATAATCATTTTCACTTACTCCATGCACCAATTTCACCATGTATGAAACCGGTTTCATAAATATATATTTTTTATTCTATTACTGATTTCATGGATTTATTAATCTAATAACTTACGATTTTCATGAATCTTGGCAATAATAAACCGACACACAATATAACAAAATCTAATTTTTAATATTATAATTTAATTAAATATTTAAATGTTATCATTTATAAAATTTTCTTTATTATGTTATCTTAATTAAGATTTATTAATAACTTCCATATTTAATAGAAAACAATGCAAATAACATATACCTTTAATGATTAAATTTAATTAGAAAAAAATAGAATTTTTCTATTGATCGAAATTAGTTTACACGGTTTTTAAGAATTACATGGTTTTTATTTGAACGTACCTCTTGAATTATGTGGGATATATATACCGTGGAATTGTGAAAGGATTGTAAAGTTTTCGTTATGTTAACAAAACATGAGATTTTCAATTTGATGAAAGATAACGTCCATTCCAATAGTAATACTTTCAAAATTCATAAACCAAACACACCAAGGGATTAGAATTTTCGCTTTAGCATAGTCAAGGGACGATTTATGTAAGTTTACTGCAAATAAATGAAACGATGAACGGCGTTCCAATGTGATTTGATGATTGCGAAAATTGGGGGAGAGGAAGAAACGTCAGAACAACCGCAGAGAAACGTATCATCAACACGCAAAGAAAGAAAGTCACTCGCGCACAACCTTTCCCCGAATCACGAAGCAAACGCTATAATTTGCTCCCAAGTGATTAAAGGTAATTTCCGATCATCTATGAATACCGATTCCTGTGTAAAAGGTCATGTCTTTTGAAGCTAATATTCGAGTTTCCATCGGGGTTGATAAAACCCTTGATAATATTAGAGTACCTCGCCGAATTAATTGACAAACGGTATGGCCAATCTTTGTGAATTATTTCAAATTTTGATGACTATACCATTTAAGAGTCGTGATATGTGTTTGCAAATCGAAAAAGAAAGTTTTTGAATCGAACCAGCTCCAATTACACTAGTCGGATGTGTACAAGTCCTGGCGGATGCCTTTATGTATCTCAATTCCATTATCCACAGTTGTATGCCTTAACTAAATTTATGGACTCCTGTTTTTTTGTTTGCAATGGACGTATGCGTATGAACATATTCTGGCACATGTCTTTGTTTGCCATGGACATGCTTATGTTGGAGCCGATGCCCCAATTTTCTTTCAATTCAATTCATACTCATGGATGATGGATGATTGTAGCTTATATTTATTCATTTGAGGTTTATCCGGCATATGCAACTTGAATGCATTTTAAGGTTTTAGGGTTTCTCTTCCACATATATAAAATGTATCCTTCTTTCGGCTAGTTGTATTTTTGGTGGACATCTCATCGGTATTGGTATATTACTGATGATTTTGATAAACCAGTTCTTTACATTACAAGTTTACTGGCTAGGGATAAATTGAACTAGAAAAAATTTCAAATCTTGGGTTTGTATTATATGTAGATGCAAGAAATTGAACCAAAAAATATATACCTGCAACCATGAATCTTAGTTCACATAGTGATGAATTGATAGAAAAAATAATCCTGTATGCATATAGATCTTATACCTATGCTACCCCTAGAACTTATAAAGGAAACTCTTAATTGTTAAGATCTTCTTGTTCAAGATTTCTCCTCAAAGACTGGCCTTGCCTCCCAACCCGATTTCCTCTCTCTGAAACTTCTCCATAACTATGGGAGTTTTAGAACAAGACTTATCATGTTTACAATCATGCACTTGACCCCTATGTTATACTTACCAACCAAGAACATTAAGAATTAGATAAAAGCATGACATTTTAACATTCATAGATTTTATTTTGAGAAAAATGTTTATTTTTTTGAGGGGGGGAAGTTACTTAAGGATGTTGTGTAGTAGGTATCTATTAGTTGAACCAAAAGCTATGATTGAAAGATAAACTATGTTTTTACGCATTTTGTCATGGCTATCTTTTAGATAGTTGCCTTTTATGCTGTTTTTAGAATAATTACTTTTGTATTGGTATTTTCTTGAGACAACATAGTTAGGGAGTTGAGTTCTTTGTGATGCAGTTTGATCTATCGAGTTAGATGCATGTGGCGTTATCATGGCTGCATCTGAAAAAAGAGTTTCCCATTCTTCGCTTCCAATTGTAGAGGCTAAGAAGAATAATTACTTCATTGATGACTATATTGATGCTGCATGGACTGTTCCAGAACACCAAACTAATTTCCATCAGGCCGCAAGATCCATAGGACAAGACCATGCTTACGAATTTTCTCTTGAGTCTGAAGATTTTCTTGATGGAGGTTATGACTCTGGTGATGATCATCACAAGTCTGTTCAGCAAGATACTCCTGAGGTAAATTTGAAAAATGTATTGAGTGGGATAATGGCGATTGTCATTGGTAGTAACAAAGATAGAAGTGAGGACACCATTCCGGAAGTTACTGGTTCAAACGTTACGTTTATCGGGTCTGAGAAGAATGGAGATACTTACTTGCACCCATCTGTTTACATTCCCAGTGCTCCGCCACTTCTTGAATCAAGTGGAGTCAACTATAATGCTTATAAAGAGGTGTTGGAAGCCGAGCCACCAGAATGGCTTCGAGACAGCTCTACTTTAGTTTGTATGCAGTGCAATGCTCCCTTCACTGCCCTCACTCGTGGCAGACACCATTGTCGATTCTGTGGAGGGATATTTTGTAGGGCCTGCTCAAAAGGAAGATGCTTGTTACCTGTAAAGTTCAGAGAGAGGAATCCTCAGAGGGTGTGTGATACTTGCTATGACATGCTTGATCCATTGCAAGGTGTATTGATCAACACCATCAGCAACGCTGTACAGGTCGCGAAGCATGATGTCATGGATTGGACTTGCACAAGGGGATGGCTAAATCTTCCAGTTGGTTTGTCTATGGAACACGAAATATATAAAGCTTCTAACACGTTGAGGAATTACTGTCAGGTGCTTTTATATACCTGATCGAACCTTTTCCTGCATGATATCTTTATGTTCAACTCCAACAAACTATTATGATCTGGGCAGGTTGCCAGGTTAAATCCTGAAAGGTCTATTCCTGCAGCAGTTATAAAAGGAGCCAAAGGTCTTGCTATCTTAACAGTTGCTAAAGTTGGGATGCTACTTACATACAAGCTTGGTACTGGTTTGGTCATGGCTCGAAGGGCAGATGGTTCATGGTCTGCACCTTCTGCTATAATTTCAGCTGGTCTAGGATGGGGTCCTCAGGTATAACTACCAAGTGCATTGTCTTTCTAAGTAATGTTGTTCGCCTTTTCCTTTGGGATAATTTTGCTTATATAGTATAGATGTCCTTGTAGTATGATCTGTGGAAACGGATAGGAGTTTCCACAATGTGTAACTGTCGGGAATCAAGAACAATTATATTTGTAGTGCCATTTCATTGATTGATTAAGTTTTATAGTTATTGACTAAATAGAGTTTGATGTTCTGTTTCAATAATTAGTGATGGGATCATAAATGGCTATCTTATATTTTAATAACCTCTCAAGTCCCGCTCCCATCTTGCATAAACAATTTAGTAGTATTATTCTCCTGTAACTATTAAATCATCAATGACTTGATCACAAATGTTTCTTATCCTATGTTGCTGATTTGATTAGGCTTGTATGTTTCTTGTCCAAAATGAGACGACTTATTTTTTTTTTTTGTTCTTGTAGGCTGGAGGCGAGCTTATGGACTTTATAATTGTGCTACATGACTTTAAAGCTGTGAAAACATTCTGTAGTCGCATGCATTTTTCTCTTGGAGCTGGTTGCAGTGCTGCAGCAGGACCTCTTGGGAGAGTTTTGGAAGCTGATCTTCGAGCTGGTGATAGAGGCTCTGGCATGTGCTACACTTATAGTTGTAGCAAAGGTATTTATCATAGTTTAATTGTGCTTTCTATCTACGAGCTTATGTCATTTTTATTGGCCGAAGTTAAGAACTGGAAATGCAACATTAATTAGAGACATCATGTGGAAGAGGAACTCCAAGATAAGTTACTGTGTACGCCAAGTATTGCAGTGATATGAGATTTAAGTGATGAAGAAACTGCACTGGATCCAACCCATGTTCTTCCATTTTGTTACGCGAAATACAAGGATCAAAGGTCTTTTAGTTTGATGATAATAGTTGACCACCCCATAAATGAGTGAATAAGTTTTTAAATTTATATTTCTTGTTACTTCTCTCTAATTTCATTGTCTATAAAATAGAAGTCATATGAAAAGGTGAATCAACACAAGATGACTGCAGGAAACTCGTCCTTTTTTCTCATGTAGTTTGATGTAGGTGGTTTCAGACAATTACTTTTTTCTTATGTACACTAGGTTTATAACATTTATAGATTTTATACGTGTTTAGTGAGGAAAGATGGGAGTTTGGACTACTAGACTGGGATGAAATTTGCACAAGCCAAAGGTAGAAGTTACTTCAGTTTTGCTAGGAAATCTTTATTTGGGAAGTGTCATCAAAATTGTATTTGCTTAAGAAAAAAAAATATCTTACTATATGAACTACAATGCTTCAAATGATGACATAATTATTTTGGATCTATGGTTGTAAAATGTGATTTTGTCAATTAGAGCTTCACAAAATTGAGAAGTAATAAGTTAATTTAGGGGCCGTTTACCAAACGCTTACCCGGGTAAATGCTTACCAAGTCACATTCCCGGTAAAAGCGAGACAAGGACCAAGAGCCTTACCCGGTAGGTGAGTGCGACGACTCTTACCACGGTTGGCGCTTACCGGGTAAATTGTTGCATACAATGCCGTTTTAGTAGACTAAAATCTTATCTGGTAAGTAAGTGATAATATTGAATTTTACCGGTAAGCGCTTACTGGGTAAGTGTTTAGTAAACGGCCCCTTAGTAAAAACAACAAATAAGAGGGTCAGGAACTGAAGCTCATCTCATGAATAGTTTCAATGTAGCTAGTAATGCTGGTAAATTCCTCTTAAAAGAAAACAAGTGAAAAAGGTAATGGGAAAATGACTTGTAAGCCTGAAAACTACAATGTTCTAGCCCTGTAACTAATGCATGTTAATAACTTAAATGACTGATGTCGACAAATATATTATTAATAACATTATAGTATCAAAGAGATAAAGTTTCTTTCGTTTGGCCTTATTATTAGGGGGGTATTAGCTTCTCTTGTTTCTTTCATAGAAATAGAAGTTAGTCGAGAAGCAACATTTCTGATGTTACTCTAATTTTGATCCAGGTGCATTTGTTGGGGTGTCCTTGGAAGGGAATGTGGTTGCAACAAGGATGGATGCTAATCTTCAGTTCTATGGTGATCCATATCTCACAACTGGTGACATACTTCTTGGGACCGTGGACAGACCAAAGGCTGCTGAACCCTTGTATGCTGCTCTTGAAGACCTTTATGCTAAACTTCACCCTTAGCTTTCTATATGCTTGCATGTTCTCTATGTACATATTACCAATGTATTAATCTTTCTCTTCCCAGACATACTTGAAAGCACTTGTTGATATTATTTATTGAAAGAAAAAAAAAAAAACTGTAGACTTGCAAAATGTAGAAGTTAGATCAGAAAGTTAATTTCCAATTGGTTATAAACTGTGTTTTCGAAGCTGATTCTGATTAATGTTACATTGGTCAATAAACAGATCTATCTGAAACCCCTTGGATTCGATTAAAATGAAAGTGAATTGCTGCAAAAGGTATAGTAGTAATTCACTTTCATCTTAACACCAAGACTCTGTTGCAATTCATGTCATTTAGGTGTATTTTATGTAGCGTTTGATATGTAGAAATGTGTTGATGGGACCAGACTAGAGTAGGACCAGAAAAAGTGCCTCTAAAAGTTTTTTGATGATTTTATATTATATCATATGATGTTATAAATGAAATAAATATTTAAATAATTTAATTGATAATTTTTTTTACCCAATTTCACGTACATAAATACATGCATGTATAATAGTACCAAATTTGAGTGAGAAATTTATTAGAAGTGATGGTCGTTTGAAAAAACCGATGCACATAAAGGAAAAACTATGTTTTATTCGGTTTGAAAGATCCTTAAAAATTACCGAAAGGAACGGAAGGTTGTTGCAACAAAAATAGTGGAGGTAGAGACGGTGGTAGACGACAGTGACTGTGGAGGATGTGAAGATGGTGGATAGTGGTGATGGCCGACAATAGTGGAGGTAGTTGTGGCTGATATAGTGGTTATAGTGGAGATGGTTGATGGTGGTAGTGGTTATGATGGTCAACAATGGTGGTGGTAATGGGCTGTGGTGTCGGTGGTTGTAGTGGAGGAGGTGGTCAACGGTAGTGGTAGCAACAACAACGGGTGATGGTAATCATTAAAACAAATACCATATTAAGATTTTTTTAAGTAATACCATATTAAAGCTATATATCAAAAACGATGATAGATTAGTAATTTGTGTCTCACTCTCGCCCCATCTAAAAAACCCTTTTTGTAATTGTACCATCCCACCTTTTGTCAACTCCATGTCATGTCAAACGTGGGACAATATACCATAAGCAGCCTTAGGGATTTATTCATATGCTGGCTAATAAATAGGTGGGACGGAAGTTGTTTGATAGTGAAGGCCTATAGTTAGGAGCAAGACAAAAGCATAACAAGAAAACTATAAGCAAACAGAAATACTTTTTTGCCTTGTGTACAACCTGGTTCTGATTACCTGCAACACATCAATAATACAGAATAATATCTTCTTTGCAAAAGCATATATCCAGCTACATTCCGCTGGGCTCAAGGTTTAAGAAATCAACTTAATAACATTTCAGAAAAGAGCTTCACTCCAATCCATTTTAATGAAGCATCAAAAAGAGAGATTGATATGACAAATCAACCAAGCACTGGGAAGATACGAGTTATGTGATCCAACGGAATGATGTCTGCATTACTTCTCCTCAGCTCAGGATGATTAAACTCATTCCGAGGAAGTGACACAAGTTGCCCTTTGCCTTGGGCCTTCTCCACGACCCAACCACTATTTGCTACATGATGCTCAACAAATTTATCCAAAGACAGACCCTCCATGTTAATTGCCTGTCACCATTCACAAAAGAAATATATTAACCGAAAAAACTTCGTTATATGTTTGAGATATTATGAGAAAAAAGAAAAGAAAAAATAAGCCACAATAACAGGAAGAGAAACTCAAAAGCCAGAAAAACAAAAGTCAGCCAAGTAATGGAGCAGCCATAGAGATGGGGTGCAAGAAGAGAAACTCAAAAGTTAAATCGAGTGCAGAGAAAAATAAACAGCATATTGCCAAGAAACACATGCTTCTTACTAATATTGACTTGCAGGAAAGACAAACATGTGAAAGTACAACACAAAGCATGAACAAGCATGATAAAACATGCCTACCAAACAAAAGAGGGTATGGGCCGAGGAAGGGGATGCTTAGAACACAAGCATCCAATGGCTTCTGAGTTCATCAATAGTAATAACTTTAGGAATGACAAAATGAATTACAAGAGAGCAAGAGCTCAAGTACCTCAGCAATGACAGACCTCGGTACCTTTTGGTATGTCAGGGACAGGACATGCACTGCATATTCTTGTATTGCTTGCTCAAATCCTGCATCAAAGTTTTTTAACCCCTAATTAAAAGACAAAATTAAATCAAAAGCCTAAAACAGTAACTCTTGTTTTATCATAAAGTTTATGAACTTAACTAAAAGGACTGGTGCAGATGGACGTCAAAGAATGGATATAATCACAAATGGCAATTTGTGAATTTCATTTGGTCGGTAGGGGACTATTAGCTCCCATATAACTTGATATCCATGTCGGAACAACTCTCTACCCTTTGGGGCAGAGGCAAGGTCGGCATATAGTAATATCCCCCCACCCCCACTCCCAGGGGGACCATACCTCATTGTGGGATATATTGAGTTCGTTAGGATATGCAAGAACAAAAAAAGCACCATATAACTGCAGTATCAGATAACTGTATCGGAGGTACTTTGACAAGAATATTTTCATCCTGTATCTAGGTACCATTCATGTAGTACCCGTGTCTAAGTGGGTGTTCCAATAAAACACCATTCATGCAGTACCGGTATCTAGGTGGGTGTTCCGACTCAGAACAACTTTACACAGAGAGAGGATGAAGACCCACAGTTTTTTCCATATAACAAGCCAATAAAAGTACCATAACCCCCCACCCCAGAAACAGTAGTTGATAAGCAATTTACGAGCATCAGCTTTCTGTTTGGAGTGTACTCCCAGTTGTTACACTTTGCATGTGCAACTTAAGGCAACGAACTGCAGTCCATAATAATGCAGGAGCTATTGTCCTACTCTAACCCCAAACTTTTATTTCAATATCAAAACAACTGTTTAAAGGAAGACAGTATGTGGACGGTGGACCTTTACTATAAACTTATTCTTGTGACTGCTGCTCCCTGCTACTTGAAAGTTAATTATCCCCTTGCAGGTGCCATAAGAGCAAAAGACTGAACTTTCACATATTTATTTATAATAAATACATCACAACTTGGTTAACAAGACAAGCCTTACAATCATTTATGAGGCAATTGGCTCTGATGCTTGCCTACTACATACCTGGCACAACTTCTAAAATATGGCGGCTTTTAGCTGCTTCATCCCAAAACTGACGAAACTTTGCAGTCTGTATACCAAATAGTAGGTTATATCAATCTTAAAATTTAAAAAGATAAATAGTTATGCTGATTATGCTAAAAGGTAATTCAACAAATTTTTTATGTAAAATAGTTTGTTGGAAAATGGTAGGTCCAAAACCAATATCCACCCAAATGCAGCAGATGCAAATACAAACATAATTTCCACCCCAAATCCGATCCATTCCAAAAGAATATTTACAAACTAGTGCAAGAGACAGACACAAAAATAGAATGCAGCAGCAAAGAACGACCATAGGAGTCTTAAAGACCTATAATAATTCAATAATTGAACACAAAAAAATGTACCTCCAGATAGTGCGAGAGAACTATAAGAGTCTTGAACTGTTCATCCATTTGCTACAATTGGAAAAGAAAAACAAAAACACTTGGAAGATATTAAGCCAAAAATATACCTCAAAATTTGCTCAAAAGAATAAATAATCAACAATATGCCACAACGAAACATCTACAAAGAATACAAGAGACCATGAGCACAGTACCACTCTTTCTGGAATCAAGAAGAGACATAGGCTGAAATCTGGGGCAGGCATTGCCATAAGAGCCTACAAGTTAAAATGGAGTGGAACATAAGGGTTCAGATACAAAACATTATGCGAAAGAAATGTGAAATGTCATGCATAACACACACATGTGAGAGCATATCAGAAAAGAGTCAGAGACTCTCTGAAGTATCTTGTACAATAAAAAGCGTTTTGGGTAGAGGTTTCCCACAGAAAACCCTAGTAGTTCCACCCAGTTGGTGGTCTATATGCTGTTTCCAGGTAAGCTTCTTCCTTGATTTCTTACTCATTGTTGGGATAACTCAAATGCCACTGACTCTGTGAGTAAGAAGCAGTATTTGAGATATCCTACATGATAAGTAGTGTTTAACAAAGAGGTCTCCCTAGATCCCATGCAAGTCCCCCAAATAGTCCCTATTTGTGTGTAGAGAAGCTCCTTACATAAGCAATATTCATAATGTGAGATGCCTAATACTACACTAGTATGCACACGCACACTAGCACTTACAAACCTTGATCAAGATGTGGGCAACAATCTGGGTGCTCATCCTCTCTGGCTCAAACTGTGTAATATTAAGAGAATAGAGTAGAAATGATATACAAAGCAAGCAAAAATATTCAGTAAATCGAAAAGTAAAATGCCAAGAGAAGTTCAAGGCAAAAGTGTGAAAAAAGTTTTGAGAATCGGACTAAATATTGAATTACCTGATAGAGGCGAAGAAGACAAAGGTTTGCATCTAAGCTGTATGTCTGCAATGAAACCTAAAGTTGATGAACCATGTTAGATAAAATCCAAGTTAATGTAAGTGATGTATATAAAAACCAAAATACACACATCACCAGCACAATCTAACTTAATTCTTTTTGGTTTGTTGTATATTGTTAATGTTGACATAATATAAATAAAAATGATGCCATGTTTTTGGCCACATGAGCAAAAAAGGTGTCCTGTTAGCATTCAAGTAAAGAAAGTTAACATCTGGCAACTCTTGGGCATTCTGTGAAGAAATGTTAAGTACAATGTTTAACCTCAATTGGAGCAAGTTCAATAGTTTTTTTTCAATTCTCACGACAAAGTAGCAAGTACTAAGGTTCAAAATCTCGTTTACTCTTGGTCAACTATGATTGGGGTCCTTGGATTCTCATACTATGTGTAGTTTAGTACTTGTATGGACTGTTATCATAAGGGCTATCTACAACGAACATGAGCACATACTTATAAAGGTGCATCCTTGTTAAAGCAGGAACTTGGGTGCATAAAAGCTTAAGCTACTCACTGACACCTCTCAACTGAACCCACTAGCAATGATGCCAAGAAGATGGTTCTATATCAAGGCTACGCTCTCTGACCAAAATTCTCGTAAAATTTCTAAGATATTGAGAGGACAAGATCATGAAAGAACGGGTAAACAATTTTGTCGCATACTTGATCTCATTTTTTACATTAATGGTGATTATAAAGGTTGAACTAGATGACAGTTACTCGGTCGATGGATGACAAAGTACTAGATCGTCCTTCTTGCATGGAAGCCCATATAGTGTAAATAACCAACTATCTGGAGCAACACGGAAGATAGAAATTTTCTGTCAAATCCTAGATTCGACTTGTGTCTTTGTTGGTTTCCTTTGGGGTATTGGTTAAAATAGGAATTGGCAGTTGGGGTTTTAGGGGTAAAAGACAGTATTTTTTTTTTCTCAGACGAAAAGAAATTGAGAGAAGAGAGATATTGACACCATCATGATTTATGTGGTTATATGCAGGGAGTTGAATACATAGTGTAGAATGTGGAGTAATGATGAAGAAGGAAATAGAAATCAGAGGTACCTGTTCGTTCACATAATTTTCGAGATCAGGGAGAATGTCAGGATTGTATGGATTGACGGCTACGAGTTGCTCCACAGTGTATGCCATTTGAGATTGAGACGGCTGCTCCCTTCCCATGTTGCTGAAACTCCACCGGAAGGGTTTTGCAGGAGGCGAATGTGGTTTTGTCCAGTTAGAGTTAGGTTCAGACTTGAGACTTGGACCCGTTAATGGGCCAAATAGTAATGGACCGCGTCTTGGAATCTATTTCTATACTATAGTACCTTTACCTTATGATCTGAATCATATTCCTATTTTTTTTATTTTTTTATTTTATTAGAAATTATGGTTATCAATCTGTATTAAATAAATTTCAATATTAGACATGTGCACAACCACCCCTTCCTCCGGATACCACAAAATTGAAATCAAACCAAGAAGAAAAAGAAAAGGGAAGGAGATTGATGGTAGTAGAATAGGGAGAACGGAAATTCAGGGTCTAGGCACGACTTGGTCGATTGTGAATATATATGTGTTAAGGTATGTGTAGATTCAATGTTTTTTTTTTACCTTAAAATGTTTGCTAAGGTATGTGCAAGTTCAGATCTAGTTTTTCACTTTAAGATATATCATTATCAAGTAGGTGAAGGTATGTATGTATATGTCTCATAAAGCCATACCATTGAAGTTCCTCTTAATTAGGAAAAAGCGCCACAACGATTAGAAAAATCATTTTAAGGCCTTAAAACGTGTTATCAAAAGGTGTCCTTACGTTGTAATGAAAATTTAGTGATTTCGGGAAGCCAAACACCCACACACACAAGCATACGTGAGAATGAACTGTTTTGGTGAGAGGGGTTTTGAGCACAAACATTTATTTACTTGGATGAGGATGATGAAAACATAATGTATTTTTATTTGGTTGATCCCTTAAACCTAACACTAACTTGTAGTTATGATGGATGGAAGCTAATTAAAATGGGTGTTAGGTTCATGTGATGGAAGTCGTTGTGTTGTGAAGGTTTCCAAGTTGAGTAAGTATCTGTGTGATGGGTTGGTTAATAGGCCACATCATGCTGATGCACCAACAATTCATATATATATATATATATATATATATATATATATATATATATATATATATATATATATCATCACAGCTACCAAAGTGAGGTAATTCATCTTTATAAACAAAACATTTTAATATATAAAGAAAATTGTTTGGATAAAAAAGGAAACCACGTTCACATTTTATTTACTCAATAAATACATACATGAGTTATTATATAACTATAACATAAGAAAATGTCAATAAAAAAACAAACATGATGATTGCTTGTTTATTTTCATTTTTTTTTAATTAGATTTTTAAACACGGGTTATAATTATAAAGTGTAAAGCTTGAAGGAATAAGGCATGAGGAAGCAAAAGAAGTGGATTGGGTTTGATTTGGATTTGGATTTGGATTCGGAATTATAATTATAATTTAATTCTTTAAAAGAATGCCATATCATTTAATTATAGAAAGTACAGATAAAGGTTTTCTTTATCCATCAATAAACATTCTTTTTTTATTAAAAGAAAACAAAAGAACAAGTTGAAGAAAAATTCTTTTACCCTTTTTATCTTCGTAGAGAAAGGATAGGTTTTCCCCTTTGGTGACTCTTCATTTAGGGTGCACAAAAATCCTATTCACCCCCACAAACTTGAAATCAATGTTAATTGAGTTGCTAAAACTTTTAATCTGTTAGACGTATTTGTACCCAATACCCTTCTTATATGTTACACACCTGTTTCTTGACATGTCAAACAACTTGTTAGCTCTTTTCATTTGTATATCACAATTACAACCATAATTTTACATTCCTATTTTCAACTTTAATTATTCTTCTTTTCTTCTTTTTGTTAGCCCTAAGTGTCTGGGTCAGCTTGTCTGCAACTTTGTTCCCCGTGTAGCATAACAAGTCGCACTCACTAATTATTATTGAAGTATATTGTTGCTATGTTGTTGTTTTTTCACAAGCTAGCCAACCTAACCCGCATACATTGGATTAGGTTGGATTATGCTTTAAAGTTTTTTTAAACGGATTCAAAATTTTCAAATTACACTAGTTAGATTGGGTGTTTCAAAATCTATCACTTGTCCTACCAAACTGTGTGTAGCCTAATTCACTACTAGTCTGAATTGAATTGAATTAAATTAAGATAGAGTTAGCATACGCATTACTTGCCATCTTCATTCTCAATGGAAACATATTTGTTTTCATATTTTTCATGTTTTCGTTTTCTCTCTTAATCATCATAACCAGTTCACTACAATTATTTAAAAAACAAGTTTTTAAGGCATATAACTTTTTAACATTTAAACATTATATATATATATATATATATATATATATATATGAGTATGAGTTCAATATTAAGATAATATTTAACTCTAAGTTGCTATCATCAACCTTAATTAGATCTTCTAGAGATAACAATAAGAATTCGTTTTCGTGTTTTTGAAGTTTAACTTTTATGTCTTGAGTTAAGAAATTTAGATGTTTTTTTTTTAATTAGGAAAAGCAAAATTTTATGTGTATGTTGTTTAGTGCAATGATCATTGATTTGAAAATACAAGAGGATCTCCTCAATTTTCACAATCATGTGATGCCTAATGATTACAAATCCATTTCCTTTAATTATATGAAAGATATTGACGTTTATTTATAGGAAAGGCTAATGGCACCCCTATAAATTATTAATGACACCCTTATGTTAGCTTCAATATGATTGCTTTTTTGGGTTTTTTGTGTTTTTTTTGTCTTTTTGTTTTATTATTATTTAAAAAAAATTAATTAATATATATTATTCATTTTATTTTCTGTTTTTTTATTTATTTATATTATATTTTAATTAATATAAATTATTAAT